TTGGCTTTGAAACGGTGCTGATCTGAGTGTTTGGGGGTTCTTGCCTGGATTAGCTGAGATCTGGAGCAAGGTGGTAGACACTGGTAGGAAAAAAATAGGTGAACAAATGTAGACTGAAAAAGGGGATGGGGGAAGATACTGTGATGGGGAAGCACAACAACAAGGTATCAACATTCAGCTTGCTTACTACGGCCCCAGTACATGTCGGTGGTGCTTTTACGTAGGGGTGCCGTGATCTAGCAATTAGCATGGAGGCCTGAGGATCAGAAGACCTCAGTTCTGCTCTGGTCCTGCCTTGCCATATGACCTCAAGGAAATCATCTCAATTTTCTTGCTGTTTTTCTCCTTCTTACCTTTAATTATCAAGACTGTGAGCTGCTCAGGGCAGTGACTGTCACTTGATATATTTGTTCAGGGCATAGATTCATGGGTGCCAATCTCAGTGCAATAAATAATGGCTATTTCATCAGGATCTTTTTTATACAAATTGGCAAAAAATGAAGTGTTATTTAGACCTTAACTGAGTGAGAATCAGGAAATGTCTAGCTTATAATGTTTCCCTCCAGTTCTCTGGCCTGTGGCAAGGAGCTTGTGGGCAAGTGAGCCTCGATCAAGGCGATTGCCTTCAGAGAAGCAACCGAAGCAGAGAAGTTGATGCACTTCAGCATTTAGCACTGGGTAAAATGAAAAATGCAGAAAATGCCTTGACCTGAAAACATGGTAGAGTGCAAACGTTTGCTGCTGCTGTTTTGCAGCTATTTTAGAGAGCAGCCCATTAGTCTTTCTATGCAAAACCTTCAGAAGGTCATGAAGAGTTTGATTACTGCAGCATGAGCAGTCTGAAGTCCCTGATTTGGAAAAGTTTCTATAATCTCGTCCTGACCCCAGCCCTTTGCCTGAAATGGGACTTTTATAGACTTAGTCTTTTCAGGTAAGTTGCTTTTTTCTTCGTATTAGTAAACATTGTAGGTAGGAACATAGTTCAGAGGGCTTTCAGTGGATCCACCTGGTGATTTAAGCCCGTGTCTGGGTATCAGGGAAGTGTCTGTTAGCAACAAGTTATTCTTGCATATTTTTCAGACTACCTTGAAGTAAGTCATGCCTGCTAGTGTTAAAACCAGAATATGGATCTAGCTGAGATCTGGGCATGCCATGATGTCTTTGTTTTCATGAAAGTAACAAGTTAATAGACAAAATGCCAGCAGGTGGTGCTCAAGAATACATGGTACAGCTCCTGGGCTTTGTAGGCAAGCCAAGCATGTGTGTTGAACATCGCAAGTAACTCTTCCTGTTTCTTGTTATGCAGTGTTTTAAGAAAATGTTCTGCTGCAGTGGAGAAAACCGTTCCGGTGTCTGCTCTCTCTGTTTTTTTTTCCTCTGTACATTTGTATCTAGCAAGAGGCACCTCCATTTTACATAAGCATCAACATTAAACTGTAACACTAGCTTGGCTCAGCCATCCCCGCAATGAGCTGGGGAGGACCTCTGTGCGGGAGGTTGACCTTTTCCCTTTTGCTGGAACTGCCCTCGTTGCTCAGCAAGAAATAAACAATTGTTGGCACACACAACCCTCAAAGTCAGTGTATGTTCCTGCAGTAGCTCTAGCTTCTCCAATAAAGAAGCGATTAGTTGCGTGCTGTTGCGCGGTAAAGGGCTGAAGAGCAGAGAGCTAGAATTTAACAGGCTATTCTGGATTAGGGTTGGCAATTAATTTTTTTAATGTCATGAAGATAGTATTTGCTGACGGAAAGACAGGTTCCCAAGAGTACAGAACGTTTCCTGGCCACCAGTAGCAAAGCAGGGGTGAAATTTGGTCATCAAGAAGGCTAACTTCATCTTGCCCTTTTTGGATCAGGATCACCTTAAAGCCGGCTGCTTTAAGGTGTTCTTAAGATAAAAGGTCTTGCGAGGGCTGAAAAAGGCAGTTGTTCCATGCTGTCCGATTTTGTGCATTAGCATCCATTTTTCTTAGATGTTAACTACATCAGTATTACCATTCTTGTCCAAGGAAGTGGTGTATGAGCAAGGGCCACAGGAAGTGGTGTATGAGCAAGGGCTATAGGATGAGGCCATTATGGGTTAGAAAAACATACGAAGATGTTACTTACAAAAGCTGAAAGTTTCCTAGGCTCTCCTAGGAATTTTCTGTTAATAGCAGTGTTTAGGAGCTTTTGAGCACTGATGGCAAAAACCACTGCTTACAGATTTTTGTCACATTTGCTTGCTTAATAACATTGGAAAAGTAATTTTTCACATGTGGACTTCAATTCCTCCTCCTCTAAAAGAGGATTGAGACTTAGGTCTTTGGGTTTCTGCAAGACTTAATTAATTAGAGTGATTTGAGAATGAAGGATGCTCTGTCAGCGTCACTTACTCCCCATGCTGCTGCTTCTGGGTACTTATTAAATTCAGTGGTTTTGCTTTTAAAGTCAGCATAGCGAGATTTTGGAATGACACTAGCCACATGGTTCTGGCTGGTCAGTAACTAGGAGGGTCAAATTCCAAGTGGGCATGTGTTATTTTCACTCACATAAATTGTCACAGGAGCTGCTGCTTTTAGTGAAATCCCAGTGAAACTGGATTCCCACCTCAGTATTTTTCTTGTACGCATAATTAATGATGAATGTTGTGTGAGTATTTTCAGCAACTGAAGGCATCTTTTACACCTACGTCCAGGGGTTACGAACTCCTCGCACGTGTTGCCGTGCCTGTTCTCCGAAATGGGTCTCTACCAGGCAGCTTTGCTTTTAAGCTCATGAGGGATTGTTTCTCCTTGCTCCAGAGTCAGCACAGGTAGAACAGAGCAGATGGCTCAGTGTTGGCTAAGTGCTTGCTGATACACAGCAAATTGCTTCTGTAACCGACTGATAGGTTTCAAGCTTTAATTGAGGCTTTCAGCAAGGCGCTCACCAGTGAAAAGCATTCTGCTGAGAAAAACAGCAGCGTAACCATGGGCAAAGGTTCAGGATAGCAGAGTTCAACCCTCTTGGGGATGGCTCCTCTATTTACTTATTTATTTTCTGCTGCTTTCCCACCATTATTCAAGACTTCTGTAGAGTTGCTTGCAGATTACAGCTCAGTATATCAGTGCGGTGCAATCCTTTGTGCTGAGAACGTGAAGCAGAGACTGATAAGTTTGGATTTTCTGCTTGCGCCGGGCTCAGCGTGTCTGCAAAGGTAGCTGTCCCCTGATGCTCCCTTTGAGTCACTGTCTGCCTGGTCTGAGCAGCAGCTTTTGTAGGTCTCCGTTGCGTAGCAGGGAGTACAGCTCCTGCTGTCTTTTCTCTTATGTACATCAGCATCATCAGAATTTTAATTTTTAATGGACATCTCTAAAAGAGAAAGGAAACCTCCCTTGCTCCTCCCTCTCCCCAAGCAAGAGTGGATTTGACAGCGGAAGAAAGATATTTGTGGTAGGGTTGTCTGAGCAGCGTCCTGTCAGGCAGGAGGGTTTCCTTCAGCAGCTGTCCCTTAGGCTGAAGGAGCTGCTCTCCAAAATCATGTTGTAACTTGCCCCAAGTAAGGGGCAGCCCCGAGCAGGCAGGGATACAATAACCCAGTGGTCTAGCTCTTGTGTTCCCCCCATCCCCACTTTTTATCCAGGTTTGAATTCTGCTTTGAATTTGATTTCTTCATAGTACAGGACCAAGGAATAAATTTCAGCATGGAAAATGTATCTGTTGAGCTAGCTTTGTTTAGTGTCCTCAATTAGTCAGAAAGGAATTGCTTCAAGTTACAAAGCTGGCCGGTTGGGTTTGAAGTGTAGATTTTATTTAGTGCTGGAGTGGGTCTCACAAAAGGACCCTAAAAAAAGGCACCACATGAATAAGAGAAACTAAACTCTGTGATTCAAGTTCCCTTAAGAGTCCAAGAAATCTGTGATGATGCTAAAAGTAGTGCTGGTAGCTTAAAAACGCTGGTGGACCCTCTCTGCCCCTCTCTTTGTACTCAGAAGTACAAAGATTTTTGCTCAGTTCTGAAATCTCAAACACATTTGACAGTGTCCCCAGCATGTTTTTATGTTCCTTTAGCTTTTCAGTGGCTTAAAATGCACTGAAAGTGTGAACTACTGCCAGCGTCCTTTTGTACTTGCATGAATTTAATTAAAAAGATAATTGGATTGCTTTATCAGCCTTTACATGTCAGCCCAGTGCCACCCTCTTCTCCCCCCTCTAACAAGGTTGACAAACCCAAGGCATCTGAAATCTGTATTTTTTGGTATTGTTCCCTTCTCTCGTGTTTTGGAGAGGGTACAGAGGTGACTGTGTTTTCTGTTGAGCATTAGATCTGCTGCCACGGTGGGAAGGAAGCGGCTGATAAGCAGAGACCAGCCTGTTCAGACGGCTCCCGTCGGGGCTGCCCTATGCGAGTGGAGGGGGTAATGCCATGTAGCGGCAAAGCTCCAAATCAAAACAAAACAAAGCAGACCGACCCTTTGCAAAGTCCTCTGCCTTTGTTACACTGATGATGTATAGCCCAAAACATGCAGCCGAATCTGCAAGCTGCACGACAGGGGCAGTTTTTGTGATTTCCCTGGAAATGCTGCCGAGGAATGTAAGATCCATTTTTAGTGCAAAACGCTGATGTTTTCACGTAAACAGAGAAGTGCCCCGCCTGCGTCGTTTAATAAACCTGAGGATGTATTCAGACTTCTTGACATCCCTTTGACCAGAGGACCAGATTCGCACACAGAGTGGTGCGGAAGGGCATGTGAACTAAACTGCGGTCCTGGCGGTTGCTCTCCGTCAGCCAGGAGAGCTCCTTCCCTGCCAGCTCCGTGGCCGTGCGCTGCCTCCAGCGCTGCCCGCTTTGGCAAGCCTCTCCTGGTTCTAGCGTGCGCTTCGTGTTGTTGTCGGGAGTGGCGTTTTAACGCTCGTCATCGTTTCCTTGAACTTCTAGAGTTTCATCAAGCCACCTCTGGGAATTTGGGAGGGTGGGTTTTCTCTAAAGAATACTATTTATAATACAAAGCAGCCTCTGCTCCAGTCATTTGTGGCAACATGGCTGCTGAGGAGGTAAGAATTGTCTTTTGCTTATCCAGCTGGTCTGTGGACGGGGCAATTGGTGAAATAGCTTGGGCACGGCCAGAAGTAATGCAGGGGCATGCAGAGGACCAGGGCAGATGGGATTAGGCAGTCAGGAATGCTTTTCTTGAGAGTGGAAATGCTGTTGCGTGGAAGACTTGGAGACTTTACAAGTTACTTTCTGTTACAGCTGGAGGGTGACAACACGACTTTTCAGGATCCTTCAAGACAGAAAAAAAAAGCCTGTGGGTCCACTGGAATTTTTCACTTTGATGAAATTGATTTTCATTAATTCTGAATGTGAATTCAACAATTAGCAATGTAGAATAAAGTATCTATAGAATGATGTTTTGATGGCCTCTCTCTCTGCCCCTGTCTTAATGACTAACTCCCCTTAAAAGGACCTACAGCTTTGGAAACGGTGTAATAGCAGGTATCTGTTAATTAGCCTGAGGAATAAGGTGTTTTCAAGGGGAGATGATGGAAAGAAAGATGCTCTGGAGTTTAAAAACTTACTTTAAAATAAAAAAAGGGAATCACAGTTTTTCGTTGCTTCCACAGAATAAATTGGTTTAGACATATGAGGTTTTCTTTTCCATTTAAATGTTTTAAGTACAGCTTTTGAGCAAGCAGAAAAGGCAAAACTCAAAATACAAAGCAGCCCACTTGACAGTTGCATGTAGGAAGCACATACCCAGTCAATTTTTTCAAGGGTTTTATGGTGGTGTCAGTGTGACCCTTTCATTTTTTTTGCAGAAAAAGATTTACAAGTACAAGAAGGTGCTCAGTAACCCCAGCCGCTGGGAGGTGGTGTTGAAGGAGATCAGGACGCTGGTGGACATGGCGCTGACATCTCCGCTTCAGGATGACTCTATTCACCAAGCACCACTGGAGATCGTCTCAAAACTGCTCTCAGAGGTATGACCTCAGAGGAGCCTTGCAGTGCTCCTGCAAGACACTGTCACATTTAGATGAGAGACAAACAGTTAAAAGTTTGTGGGTGGGTTTTATTTTAACTGGGCTGTCAAAATTCTGCCTTTGAGTCTGCTCATGACTTCTGCTGACTTGAGTGGAATTTGTACTTGCTGGGAAGGAGGAGAATTTGACCCATGTTAGGTAGATTTCTAGAAACAAAACAAAAGACATTTCCCCTGAGGCTTTTTCTTGTTGTTGATTATTTATGGTAAATTTATTGTGTGTCTGATTCATGTCTTGCAAGTTAATGGTAAAACTCCTCTTGACTTCTATTCCATTGGCTTTGTTTGCATGACTGATAATTCTTGTAGCAATATGTATATACCAATAAATTCATTGTGCAGCTATTTTATTATTACCAGTTCTGTAAAAGAAAAATACTATCTTTCTTCAGAGGTATCTATCCTCCTTTTATAGCATCTATTCCAAATAGTTAACTTTTCATGGACAAGAAATGTCATGCCAAGCAGGTTTTTCATGTCTTAGGTCTCATGTGCAAAGATTTGTGATACGCAAAAAAGTTGCTAGCTTTTTTTCTTGCAGTAGGCAAAGATCTTAGCAACTCACAATTTTGTAACCTCTGAATGGATCGTGCTGCTGAGAAAGCCAAAAGCAAACTCTTTTGCATAGATGGTAGCACAGGTGACTTCCAGTAAATTTGACTTTTACTGGTTCCATGTTTGAAGAAGGAATTTCAGGAGAACTGCAGCAGTTAGTTTACTACCAACAAATGGTATACAACACCACAACAATCCTTTTATTAATTTTCTTGGAAACATACAGCCTGTCTTAAGAAAACATTTTTAAGAAATGTGTCGCTAGCTTTAATTTTCCAACTGATTGAGACCTTCTCTGGCATCCTGATGTTTGTGTGCTCAGCTTTCATGGCTGGGGTGGCTTGGATCTGAAGGTGCTCAGGGAGAAATGGAAGCTTGCAGGACCCCTCATAGCAGACAGTTTACCTATATAATCATTCTTTAAGAGAATGATTTTAATTTGATTAATTTTATTCTGAAAATAAGCAATTGCAGTCTTGAGCCTTTCTGCTTGTGTCTGGTGGTAGCTAAGAGGAGTTGTGTATGTTGATGTGCCAACTCAGAGTACTCTTTGCTCATTCATTTTTTCTATTCAACTCTTTCAGAACAACAACTTAACCACTCAAGACCACGAGAGCATTATTGTGGTGAGTATCTTTCTGTCAAAATCTGAGGACAAATCTGTATTGGTTGATAACACTTCTGTTAATGCTTGCCTCTGCCCCAGTAAAGTATGGCAAATATGAAAGCATTTCCACCAATGCAGGTGAACTTAGGCAGGATCAAACCCATTTGTTCTACTGTTTTTTTGTGTGGTTTTGTCATTCCTCTTTTCTTGTTTAATAGATGAGTAACAATGAAGTTTCCTTGTCAACTTATATGAAATAGCACAGCATGTTGAGGGTTAATTGTCTCCCAAAATGGCCTCCTTACTAGGCTACACAGCGCAATGTTCATATCTATGTATGTACTTTAAATAGTCAAAAAACATCATTTCCAGATGTGCCCTATAAAAACCTTAGGCTTAGTAGTTTCCTGAGGGGCTAATGCTACCATATACAGAATGTCTCCGTTGCTGATGGTATGTGAGCAAGTGATTGTTTTTGTAAGTGTGGATATGCGTATGGGTCACTGCAGTTTAACCCCCTGCTTAGTTGATTTATAAAAATACCCTCTTCAACTTTTTTCTTTTCTGTAGGTTGCATTTACTTAGACATAGAAATAAGTGAATCAAATGGCAGCTCTCTTCCTTGTGCAACAAAATGTAAAAACTCAACAATTTATCACAGAGGTGGAACTTGGTTCCCCATCACTGTAATTTAATTTCCGTCACTGGCAATTTCCAGGAGATTTTCCCAGTAATCTAATCTAGAACCTCACCACCACCTGATCGTATCACGTCTCCATGACTCTTTCTGCAAAATGACAAGGTGGCATGTAGCTGCCAGTAGGTATGAATTGTGTTTAACTGCTGCTTAAGATACCATTTCAGCTGGAATCAGTCACTGAGATAAGTTTTTGAAGTGGCATTTACTTTTTTTTGAGATCTGCTATAGCTTTCATTTTACTCTAGTGCCAAGGGTAATTCAGGCCTCCAGTTACAACTGGTTGTTTCGGGGGAAGGATTTTTTAATAAAAAATGTAAGGTGGCCCTGCTGTGAGCAGGGAGGTTGGACCAGGTGGCCTCCAAAGGTCCTTTCAGCCTACATTATTCAGCAATTCTGGGTGATGGCTTCTTCAGTTTAAGTCCTGCCTTTCTGTAGGTTGTGCCCGAACCATTAAGGAGGTGGCAGTTTCAGAGATCACTGCCGTTACACAGCTAACCTGTGCTATTCTTAGGAAGTATTGCTAATACTGTGTATTTAGGTAGTATCTTAAAAGCATGCAGTGATTTGCCATGCAGATGGAGCCAGCTTTCCTTCTCTAGATGGTGCTGGAACAGATTGGTATTACAACTGATCTCTTCCCGGTAAGGAACGGGAAGCACATGTGGCCGTAACTGGGCAACGCGAGACAGCAAGTTTCTGTTTTTTAACCACAGTGCACATAAGGAAAATACAGGCTGTTTTCATGCTGTCACTCTTCCACGCTGACCATACAGGCAGAGCCGTGACCTGCTTGATAATGTCTATTGTGGTTATTCCCTACATTCGGTAAGGACTGGGCCGAAACAATAAAGCTCATTTTTCTTAGGCTGACAACCAGCCAGTTACATCTCTCATGCGGTGATCCTCTGACAATTACCGGACAGGTATAAACACTTGGTGATTTTGCAATACATGGCTCCTGTGGTTTGGCAGGTCCTATAGCAAACACTCCAAAAGATGGATTCAAGGAAGATCTTTAGCTCAGGTGTTGGATGGGTAGCGAGGCCGCATTCTCCATCGGTCCATGGTTGCTGGACCACCACCAGAGGAAGAGTGAACAGTTGCAGAAGGATGGCACACGATAACGAACAGAAACTTCACAAATGTTGTGTGTAACCAAAACAGATCTTTGCAGGTGTGCTTGGGTTTCCTTGTTAAAATTCACATTAATCTTGACCTGTTTGTGTGTGAAAGTGGCTATTATGAAACACAGTCATTGCAAGCAGACTCACCGGGGCTGAAATCCTTAAGGTGATGAGAGGGAGAGCAAAAAACAAAGCAGTCTGCCTTAGTAAAACTCCAGATGCCATCCAGATAAAATATCTGGTGTTCAGTTGCTTAATACAAAATGTCCTACCTGCTGTGTTTAGAGTCTTACTTTTAAATGGGTACTGGGAATCCCTTTAGCTCAAGACTGGAAAAGCCCGAAGGCACCATCACATAGAGAGAATACATTGTTCTAGTACCATTTTCTAATTTACAAAGGAAGTAACAACAACATAAGTTCATTACACCCTCAGTGGCAGGTATGACCTCTAATGTATTTACCGAGCATAAGCACATTGGTTTGCGTAGCAACAAGGAAGGAATGGTTGATCTCAACTTTCACGAAGTTAGATGCTTGATTTTGATGAATAGGGTCCTCCAAGGTAAGAACAGCGCTATGTTACTTTTAGTGAGTTATTTCTTACAAAAAGAGCTCAAACTCTTTTATAAAGAATGTGTGTGTTTGTATGGTGTTTTTCAGTTTTTTCTTTTAGGGAGATGTTATAACTGAAACAGTGAGCCAGATTCATCCTTGCTGTTTTACATCCTAAAACAATTGGTCTGCTCCTGTTTTCATTTAAACCATTATAAAAATTGTACTCCTTGCTGTGTTTTATGTATTTACACTGATGTAGTTAAAAGCAAAATTTTCCAGAGGATTCATAGCAGAGCTTGAGCTTACGCGTAAAATAAACACACAGCCCACCTCTAATTTCTCTGTTGATGCTTTTGTCCTTCTTTTTTAAAAGTGAGTGCTTTTTTTTTTTTTTCAAGAAAAATATTTCCTTGCAAAATGCTTACTCCAGTTGCAGTCCTCTAATTAAATTTTTCTCTCTCTTTCTTTTTAAAGGCAATTGCACCTTTGCTGGAAAACAACCATCCTCCTCCTGACCTCTGTGAATTCTTCTGCAAGGTATCAGAACAGCTTTGCTTTCTGAAATCCCTTAGTTGTATATGAGTGTAGTTCTTTGAGGGGGTGACTGTTTTTTTTCTTTAACTCCTTACCTCATGCCCAAATTGATTTCAGTTTTTGGTCAACAACCAATGATACTGGAATAGTTAACAGCACCATTATGATAAATAGATCCATATCTTTAGTACATCAGACTGCATAGTCCTGATACTCCGTGAGAGTTAAAATCTTCAGACTCCCACACCCCAGTCTGGGTACAAGAGACTACTGCATGTTCTATTTAGCTAAAGCAAAAATCATTGGAGTCACTGTGTTCAGATGAGTTGGTAATGTGATGCACAGTTCGGTCCTAATGGTATTATGCAATTGGGTAATGGCAGTGGGAAGATCATAAGGACCCATCCTCTTTCCTGGTAAATCCATGCTTGTGCTGCATTTTGCATCTTTTCCATGAACTTCTGAGTACTCTGGATTGCAGAGCTTCTGGATTTGAAAATACAACTTTTCCTCTAGGTTTCAAGTCTGCTTAAATTTGCATACTGATGATGTATACATTTGTCAAACGTTCTGGATGCTGCTTATAATTCCCCTCCAGAGTTATTCATCAGCAGCTTCTTCCTACAGAAATTAAGTCAAGTTTCAGGAACTCCTCTGACTATTGCATTTTTATAAGCCAGTCTTAGGGTCATATCTAGCCTTGGACTCAAGGCACTTTTATTCCTGGGGTTTTTTGCCTTTGGTCTCCATCATAAGTGGGTACCTAATAACCTTTAAATGTGTGGGATGGGCTGTGTATAGTTGCAGGAGGGGAAGCAGGTTATGGACTTTTTCTCCACAGAGATATTCAGAACTGAAATGGACAAGGCTAGTGAGAAGGCTAATGTATCTTCAAAATTGACCCTGTCTTGAATGGCGGTTGGACCAGATGACCTCCAAAGGTCCTTCCCAATCTAAGTTACTCTGACTGATACATTATGATTCTATGTTTTAGCCTGTGATGGGAGAGTGGCTTGTTGGTACCCTCCAAGATCCACCACAGGTTTTTAGCCTGGATGCCAAGGAAAGATCTGTGCCATTACACTCCCTGAGTCTACATATCTTTTTGTTTCCAACCCCTTTACTTTTAAAACTGTTGGCAAGTTTCAACCAAATTTGACAAAAGAGTAGAAGTCCCAAAAATACTACATTCCTTTTTTTTTGGGAAAGGAACTTGTGTAGTTCATGAGCTCCCATGGTAATTGCCTATTAGATACCAGCAAATCCATAGGAGAGTGCAGTGTTATGAGTACCCTAATCCCAGGAAGGATTAATTTAGCCCTTGGATCTTGTTAATCTTGGGGTAATCGATGCATGGGGTGTGAAGCCAGAGGAGACCCATTTTCATAATTTCTGCAGCTCACAAAATGACATGTTGTTCGTTACAGCACTGCCGAGAGCGCCCGCGGTCCATGGTTGTGATAGAAGTATTCACACCGGTGGTACAGAGGATTCTCAAACACAACATGGTGAGTGCATGTGTTACGGGAACTTGGTCAGTTTGGAGAAGTTTTATTGTGATACCTTTCGTAATTAGCAGCTGCTCTGTTGCCTGTAATGCACAAAGCACTGTGATATCTAAATCTAACCCCCCAAACTGCGAATGCTGCATGTAATCGTATGTTGCTCTATAAATGCAGAACTAATAAGCATTCAGTGGGACTTCTAAAAGCATCTAAGCAAAGCCATGATTTGAGGAATGTTTCTTTTGGCAGCAGTGCCAGCGTGTGCAGCTCCAGCTCTCTCCCACCTGGCTCTTGGCTCTTTATTTATTCCCCGCATGCCATCCTTGTAGTTATAATGGTTTAAAATCAATTAAATAACAAAATCAGAATAGGGACTTTGTTGATTTTGAGCTAAGGCTCTCAACATTTTTTCTGTAAGATATCCCCAGCTCTCTGGATTTCCATTTTTCTTTAGACTCCAATGAGTTCTTACCTAGGTTTCCTGAATTTCCTTACCTTTTCTGCTATTCTTCTTCCTTCTCGTTCCAGGAATCATGCACTCTGTCATTTTATGATTGCTCTCCCAGGCTGCTTTCTCTCTTCTCATTGCCGATCAATTCCTTGCTAGTGATTGAAACAAATGCTAGGAGACTTTGCTTTCTCTACCTCATATACCAGATTTCCCCCCCGACTCTAAAGATATTCTTACATGATCTATATTCCTTTCCTAAGAGAGGTCTGGGTGTTTACCAGCCCTCCATCCTTTGTGGCATATTAAGTTTCCTGGCATGGTTTTTAAGTTACATGAAGAAATTTTACTTTGCAATGCTGTGGCAGAGTAACAAATAAATAAAATACTTAACACGGTTGACTTGGCTGGGATCTCAAGGATGGGTCTCATACCTCTGTAACTACACAATCAACTTCTTTTCACTAACTGATATAATTTTAGAGACCATCCGCTGTCCTGCTGTGTACAGCACGAACGTAGTAGAAAACAGTTCATATTTCTTATTTTTAAAACAGTATTATTATTTAACTCCTTGAGTGTACAGAACTAGGTAGAAAGCCCAAGACGGCAAAAAGGTCATATTCCTGGCTCTGTGCCTGCACTCTGCAGACATGTAAACATTTTTGAATATTCTGTAGTGTTCAATGAAATATTCTGTAAATGTTATTCTTGGATTCCGGACTGATTTTTTTAAAGCATCCAGAGCTCTTGAGGGGTCTCAAAGAAAATCTAAATGCATAGTGTAATGCTTGTATTTGGTTAGCTTCAGAGAATTGGGTATATTTACCATACTTAACATTTGCAGATTGAAAATCAACATGTCTGTACCGCAGTGTGTAGTCAGAGAATTTACGGTGTCATATATTAATTGGAGTGGATTTGGGCACTTTACTGCTCTCCAGGGACTTCTGTACTGAATAGTCTTTTCGAGAGTGTGTGTGTATGTGTGCATGTAAATAAAGTTATCCTTTAGGGGGACAGTGTTGTTGGCAGTAAATTTCATAACCTTAGGAGGCCCCGTGCAATTCAGTGTGCCTAGAGCAGGAGACCTAACTGTCTGTTCCCACCTTTGCTATTTGCTCTGTGGTCTTTGATAAGTTTGCAACAAGTTTTGTTCCACGGTTCCACAGTTTCCCAGCTATAAAATGGAGAAAGGGTACTTAATTTGTCTATCATTTTGAAATCTCAAAGGAACAAGGATAGCTTTTTGTCTTGCTGATACTACCGGTTATGTGCAGGACTTGAGACTATTGTATGCTGAGTTGTTTGGGGAGTGCTCAGTAACCTCTCAGTACCTTTGGATTTCAGCTGTTTGTAGGCTCACCCAAATGTTTGAATATAAGCACTATTGGGTTTGGTTTATTTTTGGAGCAAACAATATTGATAGTGTGTATTGTTCTGTACCTGGTATGGTGACAGGGCATCATATTATATTTAGAGAGATGTTTTATTTTAGAGCAGTCAGCAATGACATCCTCTTTATGATCTCTTGGACTTTTGTTCTAACTTCAGTTAGGACACCTACACGGGTTGAAAAATTTCATAAACAAATTGCAACTGCAAAAGCTGCCTTGCAAGGAGAGTTCATGAAATTAAATGGCACCAAATGATATACAAAGCACACATGGTCTCACGCCCTTGAACCAAGTGTATTTGCACCTGCCTGAAGGAGTTGTTAGAAGTTTAATGATTTTAATTGTAATACCAACTATGGAATTGCCCACAGCCCCTTTGCTGGGTGAAGTTATCAGGTAGCCATTCAGTACTAGCAAAGAGTGACACTTAGGTTTGAAGGAGACATTGTTCTGCCTAGGCTTGTATTCACATTTTTGGTCATTTTCTCTAGCTGTAAAACCTATGAAATGTTAATATAGGTTGTGCTATAGAAGTGCCTGAAACTAAAATAAGTAACAGAAGGCTTCAGTGCTTTGGGAGCATATCTTCCCTTTTATAGACCACCAGTTCATTACCACTTGTGGCATTTCTTTAAAATTTCAGTTGCCATTTATTTTTTCAGGATTACGCTTCTTCCACAGCCAGCTGCTTGAGGGATAACTGGGAGGGCTTGTTTGTCCTCAGTGGGCCTTGTTCACCGCTTGGAAATTTAGCTTTGTAGTTCTGTAACACCTGTGTAATAAGGTTACACCTGTGTAAATGTGAAGAAATGTGCTGTGGAATAACACTAATCAGACAGCAGATTTTACTCCTTTCACATCTAAAAATAGCAGGTGATGTGAGGAGATGCAGGATTTCAGTTAGCAGGTGCTTTTCCGGCTGCAGGATTTAAAGAAAGTGACTGTTGAGCTCACCTGTCAAATTCACATTATAGCTGGAATAAAATCCCTGGAAAAAGAACTGATCTCTGGTTTTATACTTGATCACTTATTGATCGCATGTCAAAAAGCTTTTCTCTAAAACCAGAATAGATATGATGTCAAACATGGAAGTAAAAAATTATTTTTGAGTTGCATTTCTAAAAACTGCAGTTATGAGTGGAAGCAAAAATGCAAAACGACAAAAACTGCATTTCAAAATAAAGGTATAAAGTGAAGTGTACAAAGGAAATGTAAGTGCAGGTAGGATTTTTTTTTTTTTCCATTAAACATGTCTTTTGTTTCAAGGTGAGTATGGGGGAAAGAGGAGAATTGGAAAGCATGTCATTATTAGTGGGAAGAACATTACTTCAAGCATGCAGTGATACCATGCTCTTGAAGCTGTCAGCATGATAACAAAGTGAATTTGGTTGTGTTTGAGTTGATTTCTTTTGAAACCCCAGTTTTGATGTACATTGCAGGCATGTTTCACCGTCTTCACTTAGTCTCTCCTTTTTGGACAGGATTTTGGGAAGTGCCCTCGGTTGCGGCTGTTTACTCAGGAGTATATTCTGGCCTTGAATGAGCTGAATGCTGGAATGGAGGTGGTGAAGAAGTTTATTCATAGGTTAGTTACATTTAATTTGTGGCATATTTCCAGTCCTATGTACATGCTTTGCTGTGTAACTTCTCCCAGCCCTGCTCATCTCTTTACTGGCTGTTAAGAGTAGCTGGTGCTTTTTGGTACTGGCAAACAGCAAATAAATTAGAAGAGTCCATGAGGCAATGTTGCTGAAGTCTCTTTTTTTTTCTCAAAACTACTTCTCAAATATGGCTGGGATTTTCTGCCTAGTTACACACTGGAAGCAAATGGACTTTGCTGTGTGTACATTCTTTATATACATTTAGACGCAGAATCTTTACAGAGAGATTCCCACTAGCTTTAGACGACATAATGCTCAGTCATGTATGAGATTTTGGGGGGACTGTAGAGATACCACATCAAATAAACTGAGGATGCAGCTTAGCCTTACTCATAAATAGGGCCATTGGTTAGGGATTTACAGGGTTGAAATAACTCTCTGTTATGGCCCTTCTGAAGATTCCCCAAGGCTGTCTATCCAGTTCTGGCACCCCATTCTGTCTGACTGTTTTTGCCCACAGAAATCTTCCTCACAATGATGTCATCTTGGTTTTTGTTTTTCAGCATGCATGGTCCAACTGGACAATGCCCCCATCCCAGGGTCCTGCCAAATCTTGTAGCTGTCTGCTTAGCAGCCATTTATTCGTGTTACGAGGAATTTATCAACAGGTCAGTATGAATTCCCAGCTGACCGCATGTTACTCACTTCCCAACCCATGGCATCTGTAAACAAGATCGGTGTGAGCATGGGTGTGGGTATGAGAGCATGTCTTCGTTCTCAGTCTGCTCATTGCTAGTGTTACATGTGGGAGTTCTGATCAATGACATGCATGTTTTTGTAGATACGTGACTGTGTTTGTTACACTTTGTGTGCTTGAAAACCTGAAAGATGCTGAACCTTCATGCACTTGTACTCACTGTGGCATGTTTTGAGGCAGTGAGCATGGCAATCTGTTATTGCACATCTTTGACTCCCATGCTTGAAAATGGCGCCAGTGCTGGTGATGCAAGGTGCTCGGCAGTTCCCAGTACAGAAGTACTGCAAGCTGCAGTAACTTGCAGGATGAAGGTCAACAGACAGCTGCATGCTGATCTTCGCCACTGTTGAGATACTCCTCTAAGGCAGACTGCAGCCGTAACCAGCCTTTTTAGGCCAGCAGAAGATGAGAGTGCTCCACAAGAGTCTCTGGCAATTAACCACTACCCAGAGCAGTGTCCGTTTTACTCCCTTTCTGGCACATGAAGTGTGTGTCACACCTAAAACAGAGGGAAGGGTGAGATATTGAAGAAGGGGTTGTGTGTAAATCCCTGTGTATCTACAGCTTTGAACCTGAGCTGGTTTCACAATTCCATTATTGTGGAAAGTTTGATTCCTGACTTACCGCAAAAGAGATGCCGCAGTTCTTGACACATAAGCCAGTTTCCAGTAGACACTGAGGGTTCCCCTCTGCTGTGTTTCCTGTTTGTTTATGCCTATCTGACTTTCCTCATGGTAGAGCACGGACAGGGGCTGCTTATTGTCCAACAAAAATTCCAGACGCGAGGGCTGCAGACAAATGTCTGGGCATGTACTGTAGCCAGATACATACTTGGGCATGGATTCTGTTACAGCTTTGCACAACTTGGATGGGAAAGTTCACCTTTATACTAAACTGGCATGTCAATTAGAGTAATGAAAAGCTTGAATCTTTGTAGAATAGGGGCTGCAGAACAGTCCTGTTGGAGCCTTTTAATGTTTTTAATTTATTTCAGTAGTCCGATTACACAGGAGAAAGCAATCCAGTGGGCTGGGGTGAAATGGAGTGGGAAATTGCAAAAGATCTTGGCTTCTCAGTGTTGCACTCTCTCTCCTGCTCTCTGCTGTTATGTCTGTCTATTGAAATTATTTGTTTATTTTTAAAATTCAGTCGAGACAATTCGCCAAGCCTGAAGGAAATTCGGAATGGCTGCCAGCAGCAGTGTGACCGAAAGCCTAATCTTCCCCTCCGCCTTATTCACACAAGTCCTGACCTGGTCTCTCAAGAGGCTACCTTGACTGAATCCCGTCTCAAACCAGTTATTGTCACTTCAAATGAGATCCATGTGGAAGTGGAGCGCAACAACACAGCTAATCAGAAGATGACAGCCAACGTTGGCAATGACAGTGAGCCCAACCTGATTGACTGCTTGATGGTCAGTCCTACCTGCAGCACCATGAGCATTGAGCTGAGTGCCCAGGCAGACAGGATCCTTGGCTGTTATGTTGAAATACTCAAGATGCTGTGAGTAACTATTTTAAACAGCTTTTTGAACAATGTCATCTTAACAATGGGGGGCTTTTCCCACAGGCCTGTTGTCTTCAACATCCATGGCCAGCAAGCACACGGTTATAAATCTAAACTCCAGCTCTAGAGAGTCCAGCCTTTGAAAGAGACATCTGGCACTGCCAATATGTTCTAAAAATAGCATTAGGAAGATGAAAACGGAAAGCTTATTTGTACAGTGAGCCTCAGGCATATTACAGAAGACGGGATGTTGTTGCCAGTGGTTTCTGTTTTGTTCTTGCCCACCAAAAAAAAAAAAAAAAATCCATTTGTCTCCTCCAGGGCTCTCGGGATTGCCCGAGACAGAGCTAGAAAAGACAGGTCTGTGCTAGGCTCAGTGCCTGTGCAGTGATGGGCAGTGCTGCTCCCCTGGCTTCAGCAGGAGTTGGATGAGGTCCGTGTCTTTCACTTAGGTGTTCTCCCTTCACATGTTTGTAGAAATTTCATGGTTTGTTCAGATTTACTTGTATTAGAGTGGAGCCTCTTTGTCAACCAGTTGCTTTGGTACAGTGGACCTGTATTAGTGAACGAATGCTCAAATAGCCTTTATGAAATGATGGCTCCGTGGTTTCCTGGGAGGCAAATCCTTTTAATATCTTCAAGAGGAATATAAAATAAAAAGTTCTTCCGGAAAAGCTTGTTTTTCTCCTGGATAAATAAATGAAAAGGAGTAACAGAAAAAGTGGAATGGAAGCTTATAATAGAAGTGCAGTAAAACAAGCTAAAACAACTTTGTTGACTTTGACAGCCAGCTCTGCTACTGAGTTGCAGTATGTCTTTGGGCAAACTGTTATATTTCTACATTAATTATTTTTAAACAATGTAAGGCTTAATGAAGTAATAGTTAAGTTTTTTAGAATACAAGACATGGTGGGTGAAATTTGGACTCTACTGTAAACCATGAGCATGTGGCTACACTGAAGTCAAATGCAAATCTGGGTGTATGCTCTTGAGGAATTAAATGAAGTCCAAGTGCCGTGATGGAGGATTTTGTGAAAGTTTTGTCCCACATTTTCATTTTTTTCAAAATACATAGTACCAATTTTCAACGTAATTCTTTCACTCACTGCAGAGCTGGCTTGCAAATACATACATAAGCACACACTCAGAACTGGAGGCAGGACAGGTGAATCCAAGATACTGTTCCCATTAGATCCTTGAGCAGGAAGTTCTGAAGGCTGATTTTATTCCCCTCCCTGCCCCGGCCTAGCCTCTTCTGCCTTTAAAGATGTTTGCATTAAAAAAGCACAGCATCTGATTTTGCTTCATCTGGTGGCTTTTAAGTCTTCACGCACCCAGGTGCTACTTTAAACACATAGTGTATTTATTCCTGTCCCCTTGACTCTAGATGTTTTCCATAAACACTGTGAAGTCTCTCAGTCCTGATGCTGGCTTGGATGCTGACTCACTAAGCATTGACAGTTTTGGTTTCATCATGCAGCTGACATACACTTACAAACAAATTCACGAATAGGCATGTTCTTCCTCATAGTCTCTCTACATTTTAAACATTTGATATGCCAGGTCTCAATTCCCATATAATTTCTTACACAAAGAACTCTTATTTCACTCCATACCTTAAAATAACTTTTTTTTTTTTTAATGTGTTTGCTGTCTTTTTAAAAATCAAACTCTTCAATAGCAACAGTGAAAATGGGAATCTGTTATTGTTATCGCACAGGTTGTAGGTGTGGAGCAGCTTTGTGCCCTTTTTCAGCTTGTACAATACTAATTCTGAAGGGTGAAACCTACAGGCTGTGTATAGTGAAGGACCAGCGATACCACAAAATTGGTGCAACTCTCCTCAGATTGCCTTGCCAGAGTCCACACCCTGCTTGAGAAATCACAACCTATGAGAATATAGGACAGTTTCTAAGGCAGAGCCTTGGCTGGTATATATTGTAGCTCCACTGATTTGGGTTCCCTTCCGTTCTTATTCGTCCTTTGATTTTTTTCGGACCTGAAAGCATTAATGCAGAAATGAGTTCTGCTCCTGATTCTGCCACTGGCTTACCAGGAGGTTTGAGATAAGTTGATTCTTTTTGTGCCTCAGTTTCCTTATCTGTAAAATATAGGTAAAGATTTCAAATGTTGTTTTTTAAACCCTGAAACCAGTGATGGAAGAGCATTGTAGAAAGGCTAGTAGTTATTAACAAAAATGAAAGATAATGCTGTTGTGATGCTGATCCCTTGCATGCTCAAACTCTTCTTGAACAAAGGCTTTCTGATCCACTAAATACTATTACTGTGCTTTGAAAAACAAAGAATATGAAGAAAGAGAGTTGAAGAACATGCCAGTAGGAAGAAAACATTAATTACAAACCAACTGCTATCCAGGAGCTGAGCTCTCAGCAGGCAGTCGCTAAAATAATGTTCTTATTAATAACAGTGGTAAGCCAAACATGAATAAGTTGCTTAGCATTGAATTTAATTGTTCTTTTAGGTGTCTGACTCAATATCATCATCAAAACAAGAGAGTCACCAACAATGATATCTTTTTTACATAATTAACTTAGGGCAGCAGGGAGTAATTTATTTAGGCAGATTTTAATTATTGGAAGTCTCCAAATAAGAATTCTTAACAGTATCTTCAGCAGAGGACATTTTATTGTTCACCTAACTCCTACACAATACTTACTTTTTCGGGGAAAAAAAGGACTTCTGATATTGATAAAAATGTAAGAGCAATTATTTAATAATCACTGTAGTACCTCACTTTTGGCACAGAAAGCTAAATGTGCAGATTAGAAAGTTCATCTGTGTGGCAAGCACCAAGAACGTCTTTGACTCTTTTTCTAATGTAGTTGAGTAACAACTATTGCATACTAAAGGAAAACAGAAAGTCATGGTTTTAAAGATGTTGGCAGATGACCCAAAGTCTGAGCAGATTTTAAAGGAGACACAGTCTCTAGTGGAACATGGTATTTTTGTCCTGCACTCAAAAGTGGATCAAACTTCTGTGTCAATATTCTCTAATGCATTCTGGACTCTGATAGTGTTACTGATGCCAGTCAGTGCCTCCTGAATGCTACAAGTCTTAAACTGGTGCATAGAAAATGCACTAAATTAATTGAAATCTTTCTGTTCATCATATTAAATTAGAGGCTCTGAGAGCTGCTTAGTGTTCCATGTGTTAGAGAATTTCTTGTACAGCCAAACTTGTGCTTGAACACCACAACTGCGGTTAGAGAAATGTGTAGTAAAAGGGGCCGTGTGTCCGCTTCCTTGGGCTGGATAACTTCAAAGTCTGGGTGTCACCTGAAGGACCCCACTGATTCCCCTGGCAACACCCAGCGCATGGGGAGAACACTTAAACTGTGCCTGTAGTGAAATCTGGATCAACAAATAGCAAACTAAACTGGCTGCAAGAATAGACGCCTCTTGGGGGGGCTGTGGCTGGGATGATGTTGCATTGTAAGCTGTCACCCTTTTGTTTCCATGGCTGCCTGTAGTGGCAAGGGTCCTTCCAGATGCTCAAACACTTGTACCCCTCTCTGGGGCCTGTGTGACCAGGGTAGAGTCGGCTCCTTTGCGCAAACTTGCGTTGCTGTTTCCTGATGCTGCCGTGCCAACTGTGAGCAGTGGAGACCTTTTGTGTTCTCAGCAGCCAGGGCAGGACCTTTCTAGGGCCTTTCAATGGTGCTAAATTTTCTTCTTTTGAAAAAACAAACAAGTCCACCTCAAAAGAAGGCTGAACATGAAAAGACACCTCACTGTTTTGCATATAGCAGGTTTGTGCCTTATATGACAGTGGGGCTGATGGGGCTTTTTCTCAGCCTGCCCTGGAGCCCTGAGCTAAACCTTGTGTCATACAATTCAGAGCAGTTGGACCTAGCGCCAGGGAAAGAAGGGAATAAGGTGCACGTCTGGGGGGCTTGGTCATCTTATTATTATCTGATAACGGAGGAGTTACCTAAAAGATTTTTGATCTTGTCAAGCTGCTCAGTCTGGAGAAACAAGCTGCTTCTAAGTAGTTGCTCCTTGTCTCTTTATTATCCTCTAAAAACAGAGGACTCGGGGCTTGCAGTCTCTCGGGGATAAGACAGACAGCTTTCCAAACGCAAGTGCCCACTGGAGCTTCCCTGCCTTCTCTGCGTTCCCCAATAGGTCAGTGGCATGCCCTGAATATCCCAAGTGGATTCTCTTATGTCATGTTTATCAGGGTTGCCCTGGGCTGCTAATATGTTTTGGATTGTTTGTGCCGCACATGACATATGGGCAGGTTTTCATTTTGGTGAAAGGTGATCCCGGGGAAGGAAAATGTATTATGTTGGCAGGCCAATAGCGACGATGGCCCAAAGGCAAAGTCACTGCAGTCGGGGATTATTTAATTAGTATGGTTGGCCAATGTTCTGGCCAATCCCCTAAAAAAGATTGCTGGGTAGGTAAAGCTGCTCTGACAGCCTTCACCTGCTTGGCACCCTGACCTCCAGCCTAGCACGCATTTCCCAGGAACCCATAGATGGGGCTGCAGGTTGACTGCTGTGCTACTCACCTAAAATTGTAAATCCTGCAAAAATCAGAGCCAGTGAGTACATCAGGGAGTCTTTCTCCCCCTCTGCTTTTATAAGGCCAAGCCTGGAATTTAAGCTGTGTGATGAGCGTGAATGTTCAGCCCAGCACCCTTTGAGGAGCTCCAAAGGGAGTTTGTCACAGGCGCTCTCCCGAGTTCTCCCTGTAGCTCTGTGCTCCCTCCTCCTCCTGGCATGGCCTCTTTGTCTGGCGCATCACGGTGGTTGTTAACTGCAGCCAGGGCTTATCTATCTCCCTTTCTTTCCCTGCTTCAAACACTTCTGTCTTATGTTAGAGCTTTGAATGGACCAAAAAAAAAAAGAAAAAAAAGAAAAAAAGCAACTGTCTAAAATGAAAGAAGAGTGCAGATGAGATGAGCACAGACAGAAGAAAAATGTTTTTGAAAAGGGAATAGGTGGGAGGAGGAGAAACACCGTAGGCTTTTAATAAGTAGTTTAGTTTTATTCTTGTGCTATGTTTGTTTCATGTTTCCTAGCTCAGATTGAAGGGATTACAGGTTGTGTAGATTTTATGTTCAGGTCCCACTCATGTGACCAAACTCTATATATTACATAGGAGACGGTTTTCTTTCTTTCTTCTCCTCCTAGGAAAACAGGCTATGGTTTATTTTCACTGCCCTCTCACAGACCTGCTCTGCAAATGGATGCCATACGTAACTCCCAGCTTCAAGAAAAGCCACAGAGTGATACCGTCCAATTCTGTCTGCAGTGTTTCACTTGGTCTTAGTCTATTACAAAGCAGCTTTTTTCTTCCTCTTGCAATTTCCTTTGAAGATCAGTCATGAAAAATTGATCGGTTCACATTATTACTAATCACAACTCTCCAGATTGCTCAGGGAGGAATTTTAGTGGTGCAACACTTAACCTGAGATGTCACGGTTAGCCTCCAAGTGGGTCTCAGCTTTTAAGCTTCTGTTAGGAAAGATTTGTAGGTGCTTCATCTCATGTGATGTGAAACACCTTTAACACCATTGAATTTCCTAACTCAGCCTTTTGGCTTTCAGGTCTCTTCTGCTCAAAAATCTGCTCTTAAAGTTGTTTGCATCTACCAATAAAAATGTGTCGTTTTTAGAGTAAAATCAGCTACTGGTTTAGTAGGAATTTCCAAAGGGTGTGTATGTTTAAAAAAAAAAAAAAGAAAAAAGACTGCTCATTAGACTTGTCGGTTCTTTGAGGACCAAGCGCCGGCACTGAGGTCCATGCATGAGCTCTCCAGGGCCAGCGTTCAGGCTGCACCCAGAGGTCGCTTGCAAGGAGTGGGGCTGTGATGTGGAGGGTGACTTGAGGCTTGGGCACAGCAGCGATCCCAGGAGGACAGCACTGCAGGACTGACTGCTTCTGGGGATGTAAATGGTAACAGGAGGAGCACACAACATCCTAAGTACCGAGATGGATGTTTGAGTGGAAGTATGGTGCCGGCTCAAAGTCAGACTACTTCTTGTGGTCTGGACTGTGTTCTCACACCTAACAAATGTAATGAAACGCAGGTTGTGTGGATCAGAGACCTCTGGCACTTCTCATGGCTGCAGCTATAGATATGTTGCATCATCTGTTTCCTACAGAGACCTGGTAGGTAAACAAGAGACTTTCAGATGCATCTGAACACAGGTCAGAGTTCTGTGTCACTGATCCATTAAATTTGTCTGTAGGTCAGAAACAACAAATAGTCTTGTAGAGAGCCTTAATTAATCAAAGCTTTAGTAAAAGAACCCAGAGAGCTCCTCTTAGAGGTGCTACGTCAGAGGTTTCCTTGACTTATTTCAGTTTATATGACAAGCCCCATCCTCAGGTGTTTTATGATACTCACTTTACACAAAGTGGAAAAACAATCCCTTGTAATGAAGTCCTGGTTCATGTCTTGCTGTTCCGAGGCACTAAACAAAGTTTGTCATCTTCCTTATTTGTTTAGTGTCTAAGCACATAAGGGTTTTTTTGTCTCTGGAAAGAACCTTGTGAATGGGTGATCACAAAGTGCTCTATCTGCGATGGACTCATGCTCACTTTAGGTTAGTGTAACACCCCTTACCTCAGAGTTGCTCCTAATTTAGACCAGAGAACGGAATTCTTGACAGTGGAGAAAATGAGGCTCAATGGCTTCTAGTGCAACTGGCATGGGCATGAGGTTTCTTTTTTGGACTACTGCAGCTTCACATGCGCTATTCTTCGTGCCTCAAGTGCTAAAGATAACAAGAGCAAAATAAACAAGTTGTGTTTATTAGGGGACATAGCCAAGACTCTCAAATGTTATTTGTTTGGTGTTTTGGAAAGAACCAGCACTGAGATTTTTGCCTGGCCAGTGCCACCTCAGTTGCTGAACTGCATGCCTTTAAGCCCAGCCTTGTGTACCTAAGTGCTTTTACGGTTGTTTAACAACTGCGGGTGGGGGAGGAGACCATCTCCCTGAACTCAACACGATGTTGTGGTTCTTGGCCTCTTGGTAGAGGGATTTCAGGAAATGACTGGAAAGTACATACTAGGATTATCTGGTAATGCACCCATGAAAAGGGCAGAAGTACTCGCTGAAGTTGCCTACTGAAATTATAGGCTTTAGTTTTGTGCTAGGTTGCACCTAGCATGGGAAACAAAAGTGTCTGTATTGAACTTGGGACTTTTGCACAGCAGTATGCGAGAAGATCTAGTAACCCATCCCACAGTGCTTTTGCACGGCATTCATCTGTTTTTTAATATGTTAAGCTACCATCAGATCATAGTTGCTCTTGTGGATTGGTTACTTGCATGAGATGTTATATATTTTTGTAACCTGAACTCATACTACTCTTGGGCGACTGATAACTGCCTCCCTGGTTGATTTTTACATCATGATTATCCCTTCAATTAAAATTTCTCTGCATGTTGTTTTTTAAGAATACTGCTCATGCACATAGGTTTTCTTTGTGTCTATGAACGTGCCTTTGTGGACTGTCCAACATCATGTGTATTATTAGTTTATGGAAGTCTCTGGTTTATGTGTTCAAAAAATGGTTGAGACTTTTGGAAATTGATCCTCTTCAATTTCTCTGGGCTAGAATCTTCTCTTTGCAAATATTGCATTATTTTGGAACCCTTCCCGTGCATATGTTGTCTGTTTCTAATGCTATCAGTAGATACTGTCCATTTGAGAATGTTACACTTCGTTCCTTCCTAAAGAAACACCATAGTTCTGTGCCAAGTTTGCAGTAAGCTGCAGCCAATAATCTGGCTTTTAAAACTGAAATCCAAAGGGTAACAGCAGTAAGAGGAGACAGTAGGCTCTTCTACATTGTCTTCTACAGACATCCCAAGGTGTTTCATCCCGTATGAGATTTACCGCGGTTTCTTCTGTGTGTACTCATTGGTACTAATTGGAGTGAGAGTGGCCTAGCAGGCAGTGCCGGGATCTGGGCTTTGGCTGGTGTGTTCTGTGCCCCGTTTTGGTGCTGACTTGCCAAATTCTCTTATCTTCTGTGTTCTTCACTTCATCCATCTTACAATGATTGTATGCTTTGTGCAGAGCATTGGTATGGCAGTTAATTAGTTCTAACTAATCACTAAATGTTTGAGATCATTTGAAGGAGAGGGGTGGCAGTGTGCAAAGTGCCATTCCTACATGAGAAGCTGTACCTGCTTCACCATATGTGCTCGAGCAGCTGGCATTTTGCAGGCAGATAGAGATGATATGCTGCAGATTAGTTTGTGCTGACCAGTGCATGCTGTAAAGCAAAACGTTCTCTTTATCCTAGTTCACATGAGCATACCCTTATGGATGGCTCCTCATAGAAGGACAGTTCTGTATATTGACAGCAGAGATGAAAACAAAATGCATCAGCTGGGATCTGTGGTGCTAACGCAACAGAGAGGAGACACTTCTTACAGGGTCCACTGGTCTGAGCTCTCAGCTGTGATAATCCTCATCTGTCCTCTTTCATTCTTAATAATTTTGACAGTGCTTCCTTCTCTAGTCTCTTCCCTCATAAGCTAAGAGCTTTGTACTGTTTAAACTGACCCATTCCTTTGTGCCAGGGTCAAAAATGGGGGGGCTGGGGGTGGGGGTGGTGTCTGTTTTTACAAATGGGCTTATGTCTTATAGAAAAAAAAAATTCCAATTAAATGCAGAGCAGAGCTGTAAATAGCAATGGCCTGGTAATTGCTGTACCAACTTAGATGAAAGTATTACTTGGTGATTAAATGTCAACAGGTTTCATAAACAGCGAATGTCTTTAAGTTGACATAAAGAAGACCTCTCTGGAGGTCATTATAAATACCAGATTTATTGTGCCTCAGTGGAGAATGTGCTGAAAATGGAAAAGGAAATGTCACCATAGATCTTTAGAGTGTCTCAGTAAAACAGAAGGGTTGTTGGTGCCTGCAGTAAAAAGCTTTTGACTCCTTGAACTAACTGTTGACAAACCATATTCAATACTTGGTATCTTATTAATAAAACGATCATTTTTCAGGTCAGACTATGATGACTGGAGACCAGCACTGGCCAGCTTGCTTCAACCTATCCCATTTCCCAAGGAGTAAGTTTGCACTGTCTTAGTATTTACTGGGTTATTCTTGTTACTGTTGTTTTATGGGGAAATACAATGTCAGCTAAAAACTGACAGTAATAGGAGTTTTGTGCCTCTAGTATTGATTTAGAATCTAGAGTTGATTTTGGCTGATGCAGAGGGATGCAAAGACTTTCCCATCTTCATCTTCCTTCCCCATTTCTCCAAGATGATCCTGAAGAGAAAAATGGTTAACTAGAGACAGGCAGACAAGTAAGGAAGGAAAGCTGGTGAGGAGGAGAGTAAAGTAAGAGATTTAGTGGAGGAGGATGCTTTACTGGCGTCACAAAGACTCGTATCATTTGCATTAAATGAAGAAGTTACCCTGTGCATCAGCCAAGCTCCCTCAGAAACCTATTAATGAACAGTAGTGTTTATAAAATGCAGACCTCCATGGACAAACATTACAACCTATAATTGTACAATTTGCTAGCTTATCACATCCCCTAATGACCTGATGTCTTGAATCAGAGAGGTCTAATCCTCCGTGCTAGGTTACCTGGGCTACAGCAAGAGCTTGGAGACAGGCAACAGAGACATCATTTACCCAAGTCAAACGTGAGTCCTGGGGGAGCTGTAAACCGTACCATGATGCAAGGCACTTCACAGAATGACCATTAATTGCTTTATTGATGTATGATGTTAATTAGTTGTGACCGTACCTTAATTGCATTGCAATTAAAGAATTCACCTGGCTCTTGAAGGTAGCCAAAATTCTATTTTAATTATACAGCTGTATTGTAAGTCTTTTACTTACTTTCTTCTGACCCAAAGCTCCCACTGACGTTAGTCAGACCCTTGTCTAATACAGGACTCAGACTTGTTCCAAGTGATTTATTTTTCCCTTCATTTTTTTCCCCCCTACATTAGTGAGGGAGACTTTACCTGATCTTTTTTGGAAAGATTATTCTTTTTGTCTTGTGTGCTGCAGTTGCTTAGCAAATCCTTTTATTATCTGGAAAGAACTGAAAAGTGTTTGTTTGGTTTTTGGTTGCCCCCCTTCTCTCAAATCCTCATGTTCTTCTCTTTTCTGTTTTAAATTTCAGGGCTCTTGCACATGAGAAATTCACAAAGTAAGTTTGTGGGGCTTGTTTATTTTATTAAAGGGGGTAATTACTTAAAATACTTGTACTAGTCAATAATAGCAATGATGCATTATTCAATATTGTCCCTCTAATGTTTTTTATCTGTGAGAGGCTGGGAGCATGTTCTGTTAGCAATAAAAAGATGTAGTTTTCTTTGTAATTTACTGTGACGGCAGGAGCCCAAGGACTAAAGACACTGGATGCGGATAGAATTTGCAAACCAGTTTGGCACTGCACGTCTCTGAAAGCTTTTCTAGACTATTGTGAATAGACACTGTCCTTGGCAATCACTTTTAGACCTCATATTTCCTTCCTGTGGAAACAGTTCAACTTGTTTCTCTCTAAAATGCATGAATATATGTTGTTTAAAGTGTAATCTAAGAGAAATGTGACACTTGTGTGAATACTTCAGCTAGCAACAACTTATTCTTGTCCTTTTAACTTTTTTTTTCAGGGAGCTGAAATACGTGATTCAGAGATTTGCAGAAGACCCAAGGCAAGAAGTGAGTTCATTGCCAGTTTACACAGAGTGTTAATTGGAGGGTTTGCAAGTATACTTGTCCAGAAGATCTCTCCTTAAGTAGTTTGTTTCAAAACATGGTGTGGTTTTGCTGTTCTTGAGTCTCTTAGGGAGTAATAGCCACTCAGGGCACATGGTCTTAGTATGAATTGTTTCTTGCCTTATGTATAAACATGTGTTGTGACCTCCTTGTCTGGCATCAGTTGATGTCCTTGCTCTGCAGTAAACTGCAATCAGCAAGATTTTTCTCACTATGTTGAATCTCTCCCAACTTTTCGTCTTCCATACAAAAAAAAGGGAAGCAAAATCCATGAATCCATACAGCTTATAAAATAACAGGTTTTATTTAGCTGTGTTTCAGTTACATTGTGTGCAAATGACCGTAATTCTCATGCATTAGCAGGAGAAAGGGGGTAGGAGGTGTGTTACCGGAATGGGTGCGTAGCTGTAGCCTCATGGTGGCTGACTGCTTCATAGCTGCTCATGTAGCTTGTTCAACATCATCAGCTTTGGCTGAGTCAGAGGGAACCTCTCATCCGCATTAATTTTTGGTGTTGGCATAATGGGAAGAAAGCTCCCCCAAACTCTGGTGAGGAGGCTGTAGTCATCCTTGTCAGATAAGAGAGACCTTCTTGTCTTAGAATGGCACCAGGATTTCATCTGTCACTAGTGTTACATGCCCAAAGGAAAGAACATGGACTCTACCTCCCCCCCACCCCCGCCTCAAAAATTGAAATAGAACATCTGTCTCTTCAAGGAGGAAAAAAAAAAGGAAAAAAAAAAAAAGAAAAAGGAAAAAAAAGCTTAATTATGACTCCTCTGTTAAACTATGGGACTAGATACAGTAATCTCTACAGTGGGCCAAATTTAGACTAATGATGGCTCGCTGGTGCCAGTTCTTCTGTGCAACTTCTGTCTTACGTATCCCTGTTGAATTCTCCTTATGGACTTCCTTCACCCTGACTCTGGTCAAGTTTTATTACAGCAGGAGTAATAGGAATTTTTAGTGATTGGAATGAGCAAGCCATCAGCCACTGCATTTGGTATGCAGATCACATCAGAAGTATAGACACACATGCTGAGAGGATGGGGGGAAAATGGCAGAAGCTCAGAAATTTGAGTCTTTTTGTTTTTGGGTTTTGGTTGTTTTTTTTCCAAGTGAAAGGAGCTGTTCTAGATTAAAGCCATTTTGTGTTTGATTTGTGTAAAGGGAATGAAAAAGGCCATGCAATTAGCAATGATACAGCTTCCCTCCTTGTCTATACTGAAAAAATGGATTCTGTGAGTGGAGACTTGCCTGCAGCTCTGTAGGTTGGAATATTAACCATGAAATTTCCAGCAGTCCCCGGTTTTGCAGAGTTACTTATTTTTGGCCCAGTGTGGGAGACGCTGGTGATTATTGGCAGGAACTGTAACCTTCCCAATGTCTTCACTTTTTGGCAGGTTCACTCATGTTTGCTGAGTGTGCGGGCCGGCAAAGACGGCTGGTTCCAGCTCTACAGCCCTGGAGGAGTGGCATGTGACGATGATGGAGAACTGTTTGCCAGTATGGTATGTGTCTGCAATAATGTGAGTTTAGTAACTTCTTTGCAGTAAGTAGCTAATGCGTAGTTGGCAGTAACAAGATTTACTTGCTTTTGTCAAAAAATTATCAAAATCATGGTTCTGTAAACCACAAGTGTTTACCAGGAAATACAAATCTTTGTATCACCAAATCCATTGAACTTCCTTGCAATCGCAATTTGGTTAACGTTAGCTTTCTCTTTTTGAACTTTGGCGTGTTTTTTCATTGGTGATGTAATGCACAAAACCATGCATGTATATATGTGTGTGCATATGTATGTATGTATTTTTTTATTTTTAAATATGTGTGTTTGTGTATCTGTATAAAAAACTCTCAGAGAATATGGAATACTGGCAGACAGGGGAGACAGACTGTTCTGCACATCCACACCTATAGTTTTCATTTATAGGCTACCCTGGAATTTAAAAACAACAGTAACATTGAATTAATCAAAGGATGGATAGATGGATATAAAAATGTGTTAGCAGTTTCTCTGCCCAATTACATTGTTGTGGGGAGGTATAATTAGAAACCAGCATTCCATTTCCCGCAGTTATTTCTTTTGTAACTCTTAGAAGGACTAGACAGAAAATAACAGGTTTTAATCACTGATGCTGGCACTGTCTTCCTCTGCAACCTGGGTCAAGTCACGTAGGTCTCACTGTGTCTTAATTCTCCATGTAGCAAGTAAGATGGAGATGATATTACTTCCTTTCCAGGGAAAGGGGAAAAACATTTGTTGAAGTTGGCTGTTGGGTAGACAGCGAAGTGACTGTCAGGGGGATCTACACTTTGTGCATCTCCCACATGCAGAACATTTTGGGACATAAAGAAGACGCATATCTGTCTATACTCTTCACTTAAATTCATATGGATCAGATACAAATCAGATACAAACAAATAATGGACAGAGACTGTTCACAAAAGGTTTCATCCCTCTTCACTGATTCTATGTCTTTTTGTGTTTGAAAAGAAAATTTCTTCAGAACTATATAATTTCTCCTGAGAGCTTTTGTGGTCCAAGATATTTATGAGCATCAGGAGATGGCGTGCATGAGAAAGCACAATGCTAACACACATTAATATGCAGTACTCTGTGCCCTTTGCAAGGATGTTGATAAATACTTAAAGAGCTGCTAACGACTAACCATAAAGTTTGAAAAACATCCTGTTCTGAGATGGACCTTGCATTAGTGTTAGCGTCAGTATTTTCTGTCGCTCAAGAAAACCTCCAAAAAAGCTTAATGATAACTCCATGAAATGAAATCCTTTTTGTCTTGAGGCTTACTGTTTTTAAAGGCCACCTGAGCTGATGGATACTTAAGAAAAAAAGATTTCGTGTTTTTCTAAAGGCCTTGCTGGTAATGAAGCCATGAGGAAGAATTGCATGGTAGCACATGATCCGCATAGAATTGACCCCATCATGGCGTGGTTGCAGTATTTTCAGCAGTATTGAACACAGTCCAGGCAATACCATGAACCAGGGGGACCATAAAACGTATTTACAAGCTTAGTGTAGAGTAGTACTGATGTTGAATCTACATAATGGAGCTCTTACTGCCCAGGTCATTGGAAACTACAAATTCTCACATAGTGCTCTGCCAGCAAGCTGGTGAATCAGCCGTCTGGACCATAAAATAAGACTTTCAGCTAGGAACCCAAAATTCTCTGCAGCTAATGTCTAGGGCTTTTAAATGGGAAAGAATATTGCCAACCTTTTTTGTGAGAAGAGTGTCTTATATTTGATTTGTACAAGAGGCTTTGCATTTTTACCGTAGGTGTTACTATGTGATACCATCTGATGCTTTCTGGAGCTAGGAGAGAGTCTGCAGGACACAGCTAGTGGACTCGAAGGAGTCTTACTCAGGCGGTGTTCTCAGCATTTCTTTCCTTGCAGGGAAAACTGAGCAAAAGGGAAAGCAAGATAATGACCCAAGAGCACGAAAGCACATGAAGTCATCTCTGACTTAGGGCTTAGGACTGCTGGATTTTCTTAAGGCGCTCCTTCCTTTCCCAGTCAGCTCCTGTCTGTTCATTCTGAACAGGTGATTTTGTCTGTCACCACCCCTTAACGAAGGCTAGTGTTCAGCCAGCAGATTGCCAGCACCACTGCCTTTTACCTAGACATCCAGCCCACACAACCCTGGCTCACCAGCTGGCATTTCCAGAGAAACTGAACCGCAAACAGATGCGAAAGCAAAATCTCCTGTGGTTCCCCTGGGGCTGGGTTCATCATGTTACTAGGGATGGGGGCAATTGCACAGCTGCTCTGATGTTTCCTGGGGAGCCTATATCAGGCCTCTGGGCTGTCAGCTGAGCTCCTTTATGGAGGAAAACTACCCGCTCCCTCAGATCTCACTAGGCATCACCTTTTTCAAAAAGTCACTTCCAATCAGCAATAAAGCTGTTGAGAGACTGCAACCATAATTGCAATGAGGGCCTCCTTTTCTTTAGGTTTGTTGCAAATCCTTACATTTGTTTGACTGTGTAACAATGTCCCTTCCAGAGGTATATGTATTTCTTAGGCTTACCCCTCTAATTTTAGCTCTGTTTCTCAAATAGGTTCATATTTTAATGGGATCCTGCTATAAAACAAAGAAGTTCCTGCTTTCACTGGCTGAAAATAAATTAGGACCTTGCATGCTACTGGCTTTGAGGGGTAACCAGACGATGGTAGAGGTAAGCCCTAAACATACGTAGTCATATAGGTTTACGAGCAGTACTCAGATTCGGTTTCACACTGCCTTTCCCAGGATTAGATCTAGTGGAACTAGAGAAGCCGAGTTCAGGTTTGTGTCGTATCAAACACCAGCAGTGGGCAATCAATCCTCTTGATTAAGTGGAACGGAATATTGTTGTTCTGCAGATATGAGTGTGAATTACATGAAAGGTGGGAGCAAGAATTTTTGGAGAGAGAGATTGTTTGCTATAATTCAGTTGGAGAGGCTAAGATGGGAAATGAATGGCCATGACGGTATAGGCTGTGGTGAGGGGTCAGAATTCAGAACCACAAGGCTTTTCCATGACTAAATGCCTGTCTTGTTTTGCCACCTGCAAAATGAGCAGTGCACAAGAAGTGCATTTACAAAACCTTGTTTACTTGCATTAATACACCTTTTTTTTGTGCTTGTGATTGGTAATTTTTGTTGCACTAATAGTTTATACATATTTTTCTGGGTTTCTTTAGAGAAGTTTCTTGATAAATGTAATCATATATTTTAAATGGAAATAGAGGGTGATTAAATAGGTGGAAGGAGTTACAATTTTTCATTGACTTGGATCTGTGCATGCAAATTTAATCCAGTAAATAAAAGAGTGTGCTGCATGAATTTGAATATAATGTTGCTTGATTTTTTTCATTTAAAATAATTAAAATTATGGAGGGAATAAAAACTTTGCATTTTAATTGCAATGGCATGATATGTAGCTGAAAGGGGGCAGCTTGTGTCCTAAGCCCATGTGACCCACTGGAATCATCCCTGGTGTCTAACTTGCTCCTGGCAGCCCCTTGCCCAGGGGTGACTCAGGCGTGTTCCCAATGAGATGGAGGGTGTCCTGGCCACAGCAGCATGCTCCCAGCACCATCTTCTCTCAGAGCCTCTCTGGCCTTTCCCCATCCTGCCTCGTAGACTGGATGCACTTCACAAGCATTCTACTTGCACAGAAACCCCAGCACTTAGGGACAGAAAATCCAGCACTTAGGGAACTGCTTGGCTCTACTGCTCATGTGTAATGTCCCAAGTTTGCCAATCTGCAGTCTAGCCGGTGTACCTGGGAAATACTGGATCGATTGTACCTGTTCTGAAGAGGGCTGTGGCATGAAGCCATCTTCCAGGACTGATGCAAAGTAATTGCACCTCTCAGTCAGAAGGAATGAGCCCTAATGGAAGACAGGATAGATAGGCTGACTTTCAGAGATTAGAGTTCATTCTTTACGAATAAAAAATTGGTTTCTTATGTTGGAAGGTCAGTAAATGTTGCTACGATCCTCTAATCTAGCCTGCATAATGCATGCTCTAAAAACTTACCCAGTAATTTAAACTAGCATGCCTGTGTAATTAGGATATTTGGAAGAAATTGAACGTAAGCACTGCAGTGACCACTCTTCTTTCATTCTGCTGCTAGATTTTGTGTTTGATGCTGGAATACAACATCATCGATAATAACGACACCCAGCTCCAGATCATCTCTACCCTGGAAAGCACAGACGTGGGAAAGAGAATGTATGAACAGCTGTGTGACAGGCAGAGGGAGTTAAAAGAGCTGGTATGTCACCCTGCATGCAGTATTGCCATAGCACATTGTGGCCTGTACTCTCCAGAAATGGAGGTACAAAAGAAAGATAAGCAGGGTGTGAAATTCCCAGTTAACAACAGGATGGGAGCAGTATTTGGAGGATTTTACTGTGAATATATATATTGTGTGATATTTACTGGTGTGTCTAATCACATACTATGTTTATGAATGATATTCAATAACCTGCTTAGAATCTGTGTGAAAGAATAAAGGTGGAATCCTGCTGTCTTAAGATCTTACAAGTCAGCTTGTCAAATTCTGCCACCTTTTGACATATGAGTAGCAAATGGTTCTAGTGCTGGCCAGCATTTCTTAATGCTTTGACATTCACAGCATTTCACTGAGATGGTCTTTAGGTCTAGTTCTCAGAGCTAGAGCCTATGAGAAAAAGATTTTTTCCTGATTTTTAAAGACAGGATCGACAGATTGAAGATAGATGTGCTCTCATTAGCACTTTTTCACCTATGCAAACATACCCACAATCTTCCTCTTCCCTCTTTCACATTTGTATTTGTCTTCTTTAACCCCTACTCCCAGCCTGAAATGTATATGCTTTGTTTGAAGTCAAACAAATTATTTTATCAGCTGCGTGGTCTCAACCCCTTTGCTGTCTTAGTCCAGCATTTTAAGGCTGTTTCCTTTAAAGTGAAAGTAACCAAATAATGGCATGCTGAATCAGGCAAAATGCTGACCCATGGCACGAAGACCACTAGCTGCGGTTAGTGGACGTCCCCTGGGTAGCAACAGGCCTGCATCTAGCACACTCAGAAAAAAATCTGCCAGTGCAGAAAAAGCAGGGAAGAGGTGGAAGAGCTGGCAGGGAGCTTTGAAATCGGAGCAGGGTTTGCTCTAGTGAAGAGCTTGCTAAACTTCAGTTGGTCTGAAATGTAGAATAGCAGCTTGTTTGACCAAAATATCTTCTCTCTTACAGCAAAGAAAAGGTGGTCCCACAAGGTTAACACTGCCATCCAAATCCACAGTAAGTTAATCATGTCAATAGAAAAACAAGCTTTCCATATTTAAACACTTGATTTATGTTTGCCATGTGGCACAGCGGTTTTGGTCAGTCAAGAGAGGAGCCATTCCACTTGCTCTGTCAACACAACTGGAGTTTACACAAGTAAGGGCACATCTCTGCTCCTGGGTCTGTGCAGCAGTTGCCAACGTCAGTACAAGCATCAGACTGTTAGATTTATACTGGAATTTACAGTAGGATCTAATGGTAGATTTGGGGAAAGAAGTTTGCATTAAAAAAGCAGACTTCACAATGTCCAGTTCTGGATCTTAGACATGAAAGTCTGAAAGAGACCCACCGCTGTTGCAGTTAAGCCTGGTGTAAACCCAGACTAACTTCACTGAGGCCAGGTAACGGTCCTGAACACAGTTCAGACCTAGAACTTGCAGGGGAATCTTCATTAAGTTAAAAGACCCATCTTTGACATTTGTTCTGACACTGAAGCCTTCGTGTCTCATAAGGATACACACGCAAAGAAAATTTTTGTCCTAATGTCTGGATACATTTTTCCCAGGGTGTGTGAAGCAATGCTGCCACAAGAGCCCAGCTGCTTGCCAAACAAACAGAAACTTCTCTGTGTGGTTCTCTATTACTGTAAACAAGTGGTATAATTGTGCAACTCTTGCTGGTTAACAGTATCAGTGACACCGCTGCAGATGATTGCAGGCTGAGGAGTCAATAATCTTGCATATCAATCTGTTGTTTGCTTTCAGGATGCAGACCTGGCCCGCTTGCTAAGCTCGGGATCTTTTGGAAACTTGGAAAACCTCAGCCTGGCCTTTACCAATGTGACAAGCGCTTGTGCTGAGCACCTCATTAAACTGCCTTCACTCAAGCAGCTGAACCTGTGGTCAACTCAGGTAAGTGCTTTGCAGACTGAAACTCAGAGCAGGAACCAATGCTGACTAATTCTGAAATTTCACGTTACGTCAGCACGAGAAAAGCATGTGAAGAGGCTTGCTTAGAATGAGTTTGTCCTCATGCTATTTTTACAGGGCCTTTCTATGGTCTAGCTCATCTTGGAGGCTGATTTTTCTTTTTTCTCCTTTTTTTTTTTTT